CCCCATTTGACCAAAAGTCCCCATGAGCCTCACGGTATGAGGTCTGGGGAAGCCCCCCAGCTGGCCAGCCCATGGGTCCAGGGACAGGAGACGGAGGGCCTTGCTCGGAGCCCGCAGCGTGGATGTGTTGTGTGTCTCGGGGCCAGCAGGGCCGTGTGCTGCGGCAGCGTGAACTGATGACGGGGCATGCTCCTCATTAGCCTCCAATAAGTCCGTGTGGCAGGCGGCGGCCGCCTCAGTGTTGATGGAGTGCGTGTGCAGTTCATGGCGAGGGTCTGCCTCTCCCGGCGACATCTCGCCCACCGTTGCTTTCTCCGGCAGTCCATGGTGCCATCCGGGAGGACATGATTAATGAGCAGTACGTAAGAACAACTGAGGCCCGGAGTAACAGCCGTCCCCCATCATCCCCATTCCAATCACACACCCCCCAGCTGAGGTATTTGGCTCTGGAACATCTCCCACTGAGGCATGGCTGGGCAAGTGCCCGAGGGCTCAGGGAGCCAGCAGGTGCCAGGGCTCGGCCCCTCCCCTGCAGCCTGGAGCAACGGCAGGGTGGGGGCGGGGGAGCCTGAGGTGTCCCAGCCCAGGCTGTGCCCAGGCCTTGCTTGCTGAGGCAGTGACCATGGCTGTGTGTGTCCTGTGGGTGTGAAAACACAACTGTGGATCTCACGAGCCTGTGGGAGAGGACTGAAGGGGGCAGCGGGGGGAGGCTGCCTCGCCCAGGGTCATCCCCACAGCCGCCTGCCAGGGAAGAAAGCTTGGACCCCAAGAAGGGGGAGCCCCACCGAGCAAGAGAGACCCCCTTAGCCAGGGCCAGCCAGCGACAGAGCAGCGTGCGCCCCCTGCACGATCACCTGTGTCCAGGCCGTGCCCTCTCCCCGCAGGCGGCGTCCGGTACAAACACCTCTGTCCACCTCCTCCCTGCTCCTCCTCCCCATGACGAAGTGCTGGGCTGGGTGTTCCCTTGGCTACTGGTCTTCACGTGAGAGAGCGCTCAGCCCTGGGACAGGGCATGGCGGCACTCGAGGTGGCCAAGTGTAGTGCAATCCATGGGACAGACCAGGCGGGAGTCCGAGCAGAGAGCTGAGGACTGGAGCTGATGTGGGCAGGGGTCCTCCGGCTCTCCCTGCCCCCACCCCCCCCTCCTGGGCTACTGCTGGGTGGCGGCTCCCAAACATCCTCCCAGGGCCTTATCCACACGGGGCTCTCGGACCTAAGAGCCCCCTTGGTGCAGAGCGGGGAAGATACCCCTAAAGCTGCCCCCCAGGAGAGGGCTGGGACCCCTCCCCCTGGGACCCTCCCCCCCCAATTACATCCTTTCTCCTGGGCACAAAAAGTTCCATTTCCCTCTTCCACACACAGGCTAATGTCTACACAGCTTCCAAGGCTTTTACACACTTATATCCATCCTTTAATGCGCCCATCAACCCTCATGTTACAGACGAGCAGACTGAGGCGCGAGAGCCCAAGGCGAGGGAGTGGTTCGGGCTGAGGGTCAGAGTCCTTTAGTCATCCCACCTGCTCCAGTGTCCGTACTGAGAGTAACAAGAATGCATCACACTGTATCTCTTCTTTTTCCTTAAAGGCACAGTGAGAGAGAGAGAGAGAGAGAGAGAGCGAGAGAGACTTGCATTCGCTAGTTCACTCCCAAATGGCCTCAGCTGGCTAGGGCTGGGTCATGCCAAAGCCAGGAGCTAGGTCTGCCAAATCTCCCACGTGGGTGCAGGGCCCAAGCACTTGGGCCATCCTCCACTGCACTCCCGGGCCACAGCAGAGAGCTGGCCTGGAAGAAGGGCAACCGGGACAGAATCCGGCGCCCCAACCAGGACTAGAACCCGGTGTGCCGGCGCCGCAGGTGGAGGATTAGCCTAGTGAGCCGTGGCGCCAGCCCTGGATCTCAGTTTTGCCATCTGAAAAGTGGTGCTAACCGCAGTGCTGGCCTCGGGGGAGCTGACTGAGAATGAAACACGGGGCGCTGAGCCGGCTCCTGAGCTGCACGGAGCATCCCGGGGGTGCTCCCTGCTCCTAGTCCCACAGCGAGCCCGACTAACCTGCCTCACGCCCGATCTGAAGGCACCCGAACCCTGGGCTACCATCGCCTCCCCGCCTGCGATAGGAACCCCTATCCTCTCTCCAGCCTGCATGCATCTGCCATGACACCGTATTTCATGGATTTTAAGGCCCAGGGTCTTCCGAAGCTGGGGCCATCCTGCAGTAATTGACCTGGTCATGGTGCATCTTACAATCGATGACTCAGCAGCAGTGAGAAAGTTCTTGACCCAGACAGTGGACAATACTGTGGAAGTCCTTGCTGCTACTGAAGGGCTTTTTGGGCATTGTATTTTTGTCTTTGCCATGGCAGAAAGGATATCGATGAGATAGTGAGAGAGAGACGTATTCCTTTTGCGGTGAGTTCACGCTCAAATGGCCACCGCAGTCGTCGCGCCGCGCTGATGTCGATGGCAGGAGCCAGGTGCTTCTCCTGGTCTCTCATGGGGTGCAGGACTCAAGCACTTGGTCCATCCTCCCCTGCACTCCCAGGCCACAGCAGAGAGCTTTCTTAGAAGAGGGGCAACCGGGACAGAATCCGGCGCCCCGACCGGGACTAGAACCTGGTGTGCCGGCGCCGCTAGGCGGAGGATTAGCCTAGTGAGCTGCGGCGCCGGCTGGGCATTTAATTTTTTAAAACCACAGTTGTTGTTTTTTAATAATGTTCATGAGATCGAGAAAATACGGTAATTGCAGGAAATACGGTAATAAGAGCTACAACACAGGGCCACTGGCCGGGTTCCGGGTCCAACCCAGGCACCCTGCCTGCCCACTCCCATGCCTCGACCCCACCTCGCTCCCCGCTCCCTGGCGGCGCGAAGCCGCAGTGTGCAGATGCAAGCCGCGGTGGTCCCGGGCGCCCCCTCTGACGCTGTCTCACCTGTCCCCGCTCCCCCCCGCCCCCGCAGCGACCGTGCAGGCGCCCGCATGGATACAAGGCTTCCTGGGCGACACCGTGACGTTGCCGTGCTACCTGCCGCTGGAGGCCGACATGCGAGTGACGCAAGTGACATGGATGCGGCAGGAGCCGGCCGGAGGCGCCCGCAACGTCGCGGTCTTCCACTCTACGCGGGGCGCCAGCGTCTCGGAGCCTGGACGGTTGGAGTTCGTGGCCGCCAGGCCCGGCGCGGAGCTGTGGAACGCGTCGCTGGCGGTGTCGGGGCTGCGCGCCGAGGACGAGGCCAACTACACCTGCCAGTTTGCCACATTTCCACAGGGCAGCAGGAGCGCCCGCACCTGGCTGCGTGTGCTGGGTGAGCGGGAGGAGGAGCGGGCCAGGGTGGAAGTGGGGGGTGGAGAGGCCTGGGAAGGGGCCTGTCCAGGGCTGCAGCCCAGCACCCCACCCCCCAGCAGCTTGGGCCAGTGCCTTGTTCCCGGCCTCTCCTGGCTTCATCCCTAAAATGGGCTTGGCAATAACAGATCCACCCTTAGAAAGCAGCCTACGGCTTCAGTGACCTTCTCCAGGTGAGGCCGTGGAACAGAGGCAGAGCTGACCCACGGGAGCCCCCTGCGCCGTCCCTGATCCTGACGTCACTTGGTGGAGAAGGCAAGGGTGGCCGGGACCCTAAGGAGGTGCCCCACAGAGGAGAGCTTTCCCGAGCCCCCGGGGACTGCACCGCTCGGGCTCCCGGCTTCATTTTTCTGGGCGTCAGGCAGGACGGGGCGGACGTCCACCTCTCCTCCTTCTCTGCCCGCCCCCCGCCCCATCCCTGGGCATTCCTGAGGCCGGAGGTTTGGAAACCTCGGATGCTTCAGCCCTGGTGTTGATAGCGCAAACTCCTGTGTAGCCGGCAGGAGCGCTCAGTGGTCCTGCTCTGCCCCCACGGTGCCCAGTTTCCTGCCTTCCACAGATAGAGAAATAAAGTGGGACACGAGCTGTAGGTACCCACGCCAGACCCATTTCTTAAGCGGCTCCGTACCCAGGATTTTTCCACGGCGTCCTTGCTGGCTCGCGCCCTGCCCTGGCTACAGCCCGGGGCATGACAGCCACTGCTGAGTCACTGGCAGCCAGCAGACCGTGGCAAACACCCACAGCTGTTTCGGTTTCTATAAGCCGGGGCCAGCAGCTGCTGAGATGTTAGGGGCCTGGAACTCTTGTGGCCCCAGAGAAACTAGGATTCCTCCCGGGCAGGGTGAGCCGGGAAACAGAAGCCGTGAGTCAGGGCAGGGGGAGACGTCCTGCCGAGCGGCGAGCAGGTGGCTGGTGGGGTGGGGGAGCCCCAGCGCTGGGAATCACCCAGGGATGCTTCCGAGATGGTCAAGGTGACAGACCTTGTGTGAACAGTCCAGCTCCTGGGGGCCGGCGCGGTGGTGTAGCGGGTGAAGCCACCACCTGCAGTGCCAGATCCCATATGGGCGCCGGTTTGAATCCCAGCTGCTCTACTTCCGATCCAGCTCTCTGGTGTGGCCTGGTAAAGCAGCAGACGATGGCCCAAGTGCTTGGGCCCCTTACCCCTGTAGGAGACCCGGAAGAAGCTCCGGCTTCGATCTGGCCCAGCTCTGGTCACTGTGGCCATTTTGGGTCTGACCCAGTGGATGGAAGACCTCTCACTCTAACCCTGCCTTCCAAATAAATAAAATAAATCTTTTTAAAAAATTAACTTAAAAGGAAAAATAAGTAAACCCAGCTCCACCACTTGCAGCCACGTGCCCTGGGCCCGTCGCTTCCTCTCTCGCCTCCTCTCTGGAGCCCTCCCTGACCACCAGCCCAGCCTCCTGTGGTCCTGCAGGGCTCCCAGGCCCAGCTCTGACCACTCTGGATCATGGTCGTGTGGGGCCGCTTCTGCGCCCATGGGTCCTCCCCACCCGGGTGTTTACTGAGTGCTTGCTATGCGCCAAGTGCCATTGTTAGGGTTCTCCCTGAATACCCCCCCCCCTTTATAAAGGTTTATTTCAAAGGCAGAGTCAGAGACAGAGAGATTCACTCCCCACATGGCAGCAACAGCCAGACCTGGGCCAGCTGCCTGGAGCTCCATCCGGGTCTCCCACGTGGCTGCAGGGGCCCAAGCACTGAGGCCGTCTTCTGCTGCTTTCCCAGGTGCCTGAGCAGGGAGCTGGATCGGAAGCAGAGCAGCCAGGACTTGAACCTGAGACAGGATGCAGGCGTCACGGGTGGCGGCTCCCCCCGCTGCGCTGTGCCGCCGGCCCCACCTGGGTACCTCACTGCCTGTGACCCTATCAGCATCCCCAGTTGACAGACATGGAAACTGAGGCGCGGATTGGCCCAAGGCCACCTAGCTGCTGGGGACAGAGCTGGGACTTGAAGCTCCCCGGCTGCCCAGGGCGTGGGGGTGACTGTCCCCTTGTTCTCCCCAGCCCAGCCCCAGAACATGGTGGAGCCACGGGAAGTGCTGTTGGCCCAGCAGCCCCGGGAGCCCGAGGAGACGGTGGCTGTGGCTCGCTGCGTCTCCACGGGCGGCCGCCCGCCCGGCCAGATCACCTGGTTCTCACACCTGAACGGGACGGCCAGCGAGAGCCAGGAGCCAGGACCCCAGCCCGGCACCACCACCGTCATCAGCCTCTTCGCCTTGGTGCCCTCCAGCCAGGCTGACGGCCAGAACATCACCTGCAGGGTGGAACATGAGAGCCAGAGGGAGCCCGCCCTGCTGCCCGTGACCCTGGCCGTGCGCTGTGAGTGCCGGCTGCCCCCCGCCCACCCCCGCCTCTACACCGGCTCCCCTGGCTATCGCCTGCACGCCCCACCCCTGTGTCTACACTGGCTCCCTGAGCCACACACCTCACCCCTGTGTCTACACTGGCTCCCTGAGCCACACGCCCCACCCCCGCATCTATATCGGCTACGTGTGCACGGTCAGTGTTGCTCTCCAGGTCATGTCCCCAGAACTCCCCTGGCTGCTGTCAACGCTGCTACCCCACTCCATCTCTGCTGGCTTCCTGAGGACTGTCTACACTGTCCCACACGTGTTGCCTAAAACTGCCTGGCTGGCCAGCTGTCTACACTGCCATTCCTCGTACAGCTACCCTGTTCTCCAAGCCAATGTCAACCCTGCTTACCTCCTTGTCTACATCCACTGTCATGTGCAGTCCTCATGCTGCCTTCTACCGTCTACACTGGCTTCCCTGGGCTACAGCTGGCCCTGCCCCTCTTGTCCACACCGGCTCCAGCGACCTCCAGCCACATAGACACACTTCACCAATTCTCCTAAGCACTCTCCAAACTGCATGCAAGGTTGTCTACACCGACTCTCTAGAGATCCGTCTACACGGACCCTCCACATTGTCTATAGCAATTCCCCAGAGGCACAGCCAGCTGGCTTTGGGGGCCTCCCCTACTCTGTACCCTGGCTCCCCTGTCTACACTGTCTCTGCAGCATGTCTTTGAACTCTGTTCTGCCTGGTTTTGCCTCCCCCACCGTGCCACTTCCCTGCTCAACCCATCTACTCGAATATCCCAGCCAGCCGTCTACACTGGCCTGGCGGCCATCTCTACACAAGCTCCCCATACTGTTCCTCCCGTCACCGTCTACACTGGCTGCTCCCTGCCAAGCAGGTGGCACACTGTCCCCTGGACACGGTCACTGGGCGGGAGGGGGGGAGAGCTGCACTGACCCCTCCCAAGACAAAGGCCCTGCTCACTGGCCGGCCCCGGGGTCCCGCACAGGTGGAGCAGGGCCGGGGGCTCCTAGCTGCAGAACTTGTCGGAGCCTGGAACGTGTTTCTGGGTGCTGAGTGGCCGCCAGGCCTCTTCTCGGGACACCCAGCCAGGGCCCAGGCTGCCAGGAAAACCAGCAGAAAGGGCAGGGTCCGGGAGGCCCTGCGGGCTGCCAGCACGGGCACCACACGCGCTGGGCCACCCCAAGACTCGCCCGCCTCTGAGCTCCACTTCCCCGTCTCCCCCAGACCCCCCCGAGGTCTCCATCTCCGGCTACGATGACAACTGGTACCTGGGCCGGAGCAAGGCCGCCCTCACCTGTGACGTCCGCAGCAACCCAGAGCCCACCGGCTACAACTGGAGCACGTGAGTCAGGGGCGGGGCCTGCGGGAGGAGGGGCTGAGGGCCTGGACCCTGGGTGTGAGGGAGGAGGGCTGGGGGCCTGGAACCCTGGGTGTGAGGGAGGAGGGGCTGGGGGCCTGGACCCTGGGTCTGAGGGAGGAGGGGCTGGGGCCTGGACCCTGGGTCTGAGGGAGGAGGGCTGGGGGCCTGGACCCTGGGTCTGAGGGAGGAGGGGCTGGGCCTGGACCCCTGGGTCTGAGGGAGGAGGGGCTGGGGCCTGGACCCTGGGTCTGAGGGAGGAGGAGCTAAACCCGGACCCTGGGTCTGAGGGAGGAGGGGCTGGGCCTGGACCCTGGGTCTGAGGGAGGAGGGGCGGGGCCTGGACCCCTGGGTCTGAGGGAGGAGGGCTGGGGGCCTGGACCCTGGGTCTGAGGGAGGAGGGCTGGGGGCCTGGACCCTGGGTCTGAGGGAGGAAGGGCGGGGCCTGGACCCCTGGGTCTG